AACAAACAAAAAGGTTCCAAAATAGAGACGACCTCATCCAGTAAAACCCGTCTTATTCCTAGTCTTCTACCTTTCCTTTATTTTATCTCCGTTCCCCTTCTCCTTATACTCTCTCAGATTGAAACACCAATATAAATTCCTAGCGTATTTCCTTTAAATAGTCTGTAGCCTACATATCGCTCAGGGCGATAGGTCAGGGTAAATGAATACAACTCAACTCAACTCAACTCAACAGGGTAAAGGATTCTGCCAGTCGAATATGTACGGTACGTGTGTGCTTTAAAATCTTTCTATCTATACGCAGGACGCAGGCTTGCAGCTAGATGAGAAGTGGTCTGCGGGGTCTGCTTGTCTTTTTCTCTATTTCTTCACATGGTGGCGGTAGTCGGCGACCGTCCTTCTTTACCTAGTGAGAAGAAAGCGTATGCAGCACGCTGCGCGGTTTCTAGAACGGGGATCTGATATTGTTAGCGCTAGTATAGTGGAAATAGTGTAAGTTTGGTTCGGTAATAGGTTATGAGATTGGCGTGAGTATAAGCTGTCCTTCCATTTTATATACAGTGTATATTTTTCTACCTGAAATGGAAATGCTACTTGTTTTGCAAAACGAAAGATTTCTGCCAAATGTTTCATTTCCTTATCTTCGCCTGTTATTGGGCTTTGTTTTGCTTCCGGATTTTCGTTTGTTGTGTTCTTTTTTGGTAGTTCGCGCTTTTTGTATTTGGTTTTGTGGATGTAATACAGTGGTGGTAATGAGAACCAGGTTATTCAATAACGAAAAGTTGTGGTTTCGTCTTCGATATGCATTCCTGCATATCAGAATCATCGTCTGAGACTTCAGCGAAGCCCGCGCGCTCATGTAGTCCATTTCCCGTTTGACGCAGGATTATACCCTGGACATAAAGTAAAACCTCATATCCTGAGCTCTCTCTAACCAATGGTAGAAACGTATACCGTACCCCGGGCTCACGTCCCACCTCACTCTTGCCTTTGCAGATGTCGAAGTCAATCTTGAATTCTTGGCCAGTATCCGAAGAATAGACAAAGAAGTTGTCTTTCGTTGCACCTGAGTCTTCGCCTCTTTTGAATCGCAGCGTTAAGAGCCGTCCGATGCAAATAAGATATGGCCAGAAGCCATTGGAGCTTCTCTCTGGAGCAAGCTGTTGACAACTATCGGACAAAAAAGCGTACGCCAATGGTTTATAAATGTATCCATGACCTGTGGATATTTTGTATATCATATCGTCTGTGGGGTATTGCTCGTTAGACGCCCAATGCCATGTTGGCGCTCGATTTTGTGAGCCTGGTGAGGTAGTGGTGACAGGAGAGTTCCACGTCAAAGCGTAAGGAAGCGTTCCGCCAAGGATTCCATGCGCGTAGACATTACGTACGAGCCCGGCTACACGTTTTCCAATACCCTCGACAGCTTTAAAGATATCTTTATCCGGATAGGTAAGACTTGCTCGGTTGAAGGTATTCAGTATGCGAAACCATTCTTTTTCAAGGTCCAGGGTTTTCTGAAAGTCAATATATCTTTGTGATACATTAACCAGGCAAGTCCTTTTGAATGGTAGCCGAGTACTGTCCACGAGCGACCAGAAAGGTAAAACTTCTGCCGCGTTTTCGGTGGAAAGGCACCATTCTTCGGGAAAGTCCTCACAAGCGGCCATCTCCCCACAATGCCAAAGTATCTGTCTGTCTGTGAAAGACAGCATCCTCTGGCTCAGAATCATTTCTTGAACAACCCAACCTCGCTTTAGCAACGTACTTTCGCTTAGGGCTCCGGAGCCTCCGCGGCTTAGACTATCGCATAGTTCATACCGATCCATTATCATAGCGTAGCGCTTCACAGGGGAAGTTTTCGTTGGCTGCCATGTAAGGAACATTGTCTCTTCGTCATACAGTTTTCTGTGGTGGAAGAGCCCGTTATACGGATTGTTTGCATGTGCAGACCCAATGTTTAGACAGCTATGGGAGTATACCTCCTCCATACGGCCAGCTTCCTGGATCCAGTCGTCGTGGGCAGCTTTGTCAGACTCAGACCCCTGAAGGATGCAATAGCTGTCGATCCACAGATAGCGTATTCCAAGAGCGCGGATAGTTGTAATAGTCTCCCGAAAGCTACGAGGCAGTTTGTTCGATGGTATTCCAGCTAGAAAACCAGATATGGAGTTGCTTTCAAGCACGAGAAACTCTTGGTCTCCCCAACAATGGCTCAAAGTAGCATAGGGACCTGCGATCTCTGGCTCGTCTTTTGTTATCACGAGCTTTATCGGCTCATCGGCAACGTCGAGTAGTCGAGTCGGGTACCAATCTGGACCGATGGTTTGCTCGCAGCAATGCTCTTTTCTGCATGTATCCAACCAGTGTTGCGCGAGAGAAATAGCATGATCGTTGCCTGTCCATGTATCCAATTTGGACTTATAGGCATGTTCAAACCCGGGAGTCCACGACTCAATGTTGTAGATTTCAAAGTAGGTGTGATTGTCGAAGCTCAGAAAAAAGTGATTATCGTTCACACTGGTTGATGTCAGGCGGTAATAAATCGGTTCAAACAATCGTGTTTCCGACTTCTTGAACTTTTTTTGACGATTAATGATCGTAGTGCAAAGCCAGCAGCCTTGGGTAACAGCTTCTCGAAAACTTTCTTCGGACGGATGGTGCTTCTGCGAAAACGTATGGAAGATAGGTCGTTGCTCATCAAACCAGACCTTCCACCAATCGAAGGAATGATCAGCAAAGATGGACTGGCAAATATTACAAAGTGCCGGCGGCGAAAAACCAGACAGCATGGCTCGTTGCAGTAGAAAGGGGTGTACTGCTCGCTTTCGCTTCTTTTATTATAACCATGAGCTTTTACTGTGCGAATAAACCACTTGAGAGTATAACATACAGATGTAAGACCAACTGTTTCGGTTTAACGCAAAGAGTAATTGGCGGGATAAAGCAGAGTTCAAGTTCATGTGGTGTAGGATGCGGATGGAGGATGAAGGCAAAAGCTTGTGTTAGCGATAAAGGGATCTTATAACATAGCCTACAGCCCCAATAGGCGGCAGTCGGCAATTTTGGGGCAGTGAACTTCTCCTGTTCGCCTGCATTATGACGTGTCCGCTGCTGCGCCGCTAAGTACGTACTCCGTAAGCCTTGCCGATCAGGGCCCGCTTCTCGCTCCCCTTCTTTCAGCCTGACTGCGTAGTTACGAATCTGTGCCACATACCTACATATCACTGGACAATATTGTCGCATGTCAGCCATTGATGTGAAATGCTGCAAAGGTATATGGTTTCCGGTCCAAATTGCGTCATTAAAAAACATGTGAAAACCCCGCAACAAGGGCCTTAAAAGCGCTACGCGCCCTCTCTTCCATCACAGCCCATCAAACAGTCCTGATTGTTTTCTATCAGATTCGTTTACGCAGCACCTGATTCTGTTCGGAACAAAACCAGATGGTCGATATTTCGGACCTTCCAGTTGCGGACGTTCAACACTGGAACAACATCAGTGTCAAAGTACGGTGTCCATTCTGCCAAAAGTCCCATCTCCACGATTTTCGTGGCTACGGCAATGAAATATTTCAGAGCAGCTGTTTTACCGACGTACACTGCATAAATCGCTATACTGGATATCGAATATGTTTTCCATTTAAGGACCACACAACCAGTAGTCCTCGAACAGCTTACGAAATTGATAAGGACAAAAGATCTTTCGTCAACATCGGTCTGCAAACAAATGAAGAGGATGAAGAGAATGATGATGAAAGTGAAGATGAAGTCAATGGCAAGCTTGCAAGGAAATTTGAGCAGAAAATCCAACTGCAAGAAAGCCCAAACCCGACACGGCCACAGTTTAAGGATGCTACCGAAACTCGCATCCCCAAACTCATGGAAGACAATTTTTATGAAAAGGACATAGAATACGTCTTATCCAAATGCGCTCAGGGAGATATCGAAGTTGTCAAAAATTACATCGAAACCTCACAGGAACGACATATTTTCCTTAACGGTGAAGACAAGCTGGGAAATACCGCTCTTATACTGGCTTCCATTAAAGATTGCCCGCCTATGCTCAACATACTGGTTGATTATGGCTCTGATATCAACGCCGCAAACCACATAGGGAGAAGCGCTCTCATGGAGGCTTCACTATGGGGAAGGGCAGATAACGTCCGGATTCTGCTAAACCGCGGGGCTAAAAAATCACTCCGAGATGCCAACTGGCGCTGTGCAAGAGATCTTGCTCTCCCAAAATCAGGAAATGCAGTTGAGAGATACAGGCGAGCTGGGGACAACCACCAATATTGTAAAACAAACTCGAATTTTGCGGACACACGCCGCAAGCAAATTCTCTGCATGCTGGATGATCAACCACAACAATCCATGACAGACTTAAGAGATGACAAAAACGCGGACACTGTATTTAAATACCACTCCTTTCACCGTCTTCGAGAAACAAACACCATCAAACTTGTTGCTCAGGTGGCGAATTTTCTGGTTCCATATCCGGAGAAAACCATTGGGTTGCTTGTTAGGGGAAGCCCATTTCCTAATGTTGCTGCAATGAGTGGGTGGACATACAGTGAACGCCACCCATTTAGCAGAGTATGGGGCCAAAGAAAAAAGCTGCCATTTGCCATATCCGGACAACAATGGACCCCTAAAGCTTTGCAAATTGCAGATGCTCTCGGATATAAACTGCCGAATACCAACTCGGATCATGGCAATCCTGGATATTATTATGCCTGTCACGCAGAGATGCAACTCATTGCTTATTTTGTCAACAAGCATGTTTTGCTTCCTGTAGAAAAGGAAGGACGACTTTCTGATCTCTCGAAAATAAACCCACCAGTGACCCTGACAAGCCCAACAATTCTTGTCAGTTCTGAAATATGCGACAGTTGCAAAGCATTCAGAGATCTGGTCAACAGTAAGCTTGGGCTCTCAATCCAACTATTGGCCAAATTCGAGAATTAGGAAAAGAAAATGAAGCAAAATGGCCATAGGGGTTTCTGTGTTTGCTACTAAATCGCTTTTAAGGGTTTAGATTATAACCAGATTCTATTTATTGTTTGCCTGATAGCCTTGTTATCATTGTTATTTTCACCTTCGGTTGTTGAAAGGTAGCAAAACGGGTACGCATTTCCACTTTAGACCTAAGAAGCTGTGAAGCTGGGCGCGAGGAATTGGACGCCGCTTGTCCTTCTAGATTACTGTTACCTATGGAGGTATATATGCTGCTATCTAAAAGAACACGTTTTCTCTTTAGTAGTGGTAAATGAGTAGTGCAGGGGTAAGGCTGTTGTGTAACAACTAAATAATGAGGCTGATAAACGAGAGTTATCGGAGTGATCCTGGCTGACAGAAGCAAGTGAAACACCTAATTGTTTCAGGAAAACTTGGTGAGAACAAAAATGACCGGACTAAGACCAACTTTGTTGGAAATTATCTCATCGCAGCCTTCCCTACTTCTTCACGGCGCCATTTGTGGATCCCACCGGCGCTAACCACGGAATCAAGATGCAGTAACACCTGACGTCAGCAAAGTCGGTTGACTAAACGACATTATATATATGACTATCACGTTCCCTCTTATCTCCACACTATTTGATTTCCTTTTTTCCCCTTTACAAATATGTCCGTCAACCACCTCTTTCCGGTCGTCTGCACAGCAAACCTACCATCCAGTGTACGAGTCACTCATGCATACTCCCTCTCCTAACATATCTTAATTTCTAAAGGCTATAGATGCACTCCTTACCACCGCACTCGCCGGCTCCGAAGCCCTTATTCCGAACAGCGAACCCTGCCTTGCCGTGTTAACTAGTCCCGCCGACAACCCAACCTCCATGCCGATGTACCCATCTCGCCCGCCGACCCAGCCTTTTACGTCTCCATTTATTGACCAATCTCCCGCGCAAATAGCCCATCAAGTCGGCGGGGCGAGATTCTTTGCTGTGTTGGACAAGCTATCGGCGGAGGACAAAACGGCGTTGTTGGTTAAAGTGCAGCGCGATGTCGGGGAGGGTATTGAGGTCAATGTTTTGCGGATCACATTTGATTCGGTGCAGGCCGTACTCCAGGCGCTGGAAGTGGCGAGTTTGGGTTTTGACGAGATGATGGATATTGCGAAGGATGAAGGGGGGGTTTATGGGGCGATGGAAAATAAGGGAAAAAAGATTGGTGGACCAGCGCCGCCGATGAAGTTGGGCGACATTCCACCAACGACACCCGCACCAAAGACGTGAGCCAGTCAACAACCCGACACAAAGAGAGAAACTTTAGCAAATAGCAGTACAAACAGCAAGCTAGAGCCCAGAAGCAAACAAAGTAAACACAATGATAAATTACGATGACCCAGATTAATGATGCTCGCTGAAAGTAAAACCCAGTCCCGTTTATCCACACTTAACGCTAATCCTCAATCCACTTTGCCATGAGCTTCTGAATGGTCTCCTCTGCCTCCTTCTCGTCGATCTCAATTTCTTCCGTGATATCAGTCTGCAGAAGGCTAGATTCTTCCCTCACATTGACTTCGTCTGGCGTGCTTGAACCGTTTGTATTTTTCTCGGTAGAAACGTCAAGAGATTCCCGTCTCTTTAGTTTTCCGGAGTGGTCGCGGCTCGCACCGAAAGATGTGCCCGGGGCAGTTGTATTACCAGGAGCTTCTTTGTTAGAGTTTGTAATTAATTCTCCTCTCCCTAGCTTTTCGAGGGCTTCCGTAGAAGTGTCGGCGGTTTTTTGTTCTACGGCTTTAGGCTTGCGACCAATTCTTCGCCGTATCTAAGCTCTTATAGCTCTAAGACGGTAGGAATGCTCTAAGGTTAGGGTTCGGTGGCCTATAGCGCGGATTGCGGACTTAGGTGCAGTAGTATTAAAACCACTCTTAGACTATGTCATTTAGTAATTAATTCGTTAGACTAGGATCACTGTATTTAAACTTACGTATTTTTGTTTCTCCGTAATCCACATCAATGTTTACAAAGTCAATGTCCTAAAGTTAAACGCTTATCCATTATCATAAAAGTTGGCTATAATTAGTTCGCCGCCAACGGATTGAAGATGCCGTAGAAGAATTAGGCGTTGAACATTATTAAGGCTGGAAAGAAATTCAAGTGTACCGGCAGCATTAAGCTCTTTTTATAGCTTTATATATTCTAAAATCTCCTCTTGCTAAAGCTCGACGGAGTAGATACTACAGCGGATATCTAGTAGATCAGTGTCTACGTTTACATCCATCATCTAAGCTTCTAAGCACCTCTAATTTAGGTGATGCTGTGAAGCTAAAGTAGTACTACTCTCCGTAATATCCGAAAGCTAGTTGTCGACGCCTCGGTGGAATTCTCCTGGCTTTATGTGTCTTCGAGTACTCTTCTTGGCGGAAGTTCCTTCTGTTGAAATTATTCTTACGCTTGTGGCCTGGCTGTCTTCCCTAACACTTTCTCCAGTATATAGAGCGGAGGCTTCTCTTTTAAAAGGCTTAGCGATGTGTAAGGACGGATCCTCTTTTCGCCTTGTTTTAACAAGTATAGTGTTTAAATGATCTGCTAGTGATGGTAACGAATTAGTAAATACTCAAGCTATCTACTGGCATTCTTTAGCGCAACTACCTAGAGGTTTTGTTTGTTGGGATAGTTTATTGCTTAGGTTGTAGCTTCCTAGGTAGACGCTTTCCCCTATAAAGTTAATCTGGTTGTTTAGTCGCATAATTATTACTATTATTTATATGCGTTCTTAACTCTTCCTATCTATTATTTCCGACTTAGGTGGTCCTAGACCTATTCGGTACAGCTGAGCCACATTTAGCGCGAGAAGAAGTATAAGCTTTAGCTTTTACATGTCTATTCTAAGCTTGGAAATGTTACTCTTTACGTAAAAGTACCCTGTACGCTCTTTCAAAGACAAAATTACTTTTCCAGCAGTGGACCCTCGAAACTGTAGGCTTCTACTTGCTTTCCCAAGCTCATTCTACACATTTTCGAAGATAGTGCTGCAGTTGGCAAGTGTTTTCTCGATCAAATACGGATTAAGATGACTACCACCGGATGCGAGGATATCTCTTAGTTATTCCCTTTAGTAGAGAACACGTAAGAACATACCAGTAAGAAGAATCGTCTTCATAAAGTAAAACTTACAAAATAGCGCACAAAGCCAGGATATTATTATAAGCTGTCTTAAGTTCTTTCGGTGCGCCGCGGGCGACTTAAATAAAGTTAAACAAGCTAGCAGAAATATAAATGCCGAGGCTGATGACACCGAACACACTATCAGCCACGTCGAATTCTGACATGATGAGTAGGGTAAAATTTGTTGAGTTGAGTTTGTGAAAGTGAGTGAAGGTAGGAGAGTGATTGTGAAGGCCGTCGCATTACCCTACCTACGCATCTAAAAATAACCGCTGTCTATTAGCTACGTGTACCCACAGGAAACACTGCAATATGTGTACGTAGGTGATTGAACAGCATAAAGTTTTAGTCCTAATCCTAAGGTTTCTCGTCGGTGTCGCTTTCATGCTCCGCGTAATTTATTAATCATAGTAGTGGAAGTTATCTGCGATGCCTTCAGGGTCAAATGCAGCATCATTAGTGCCGCCTTCCTTCAACGCCCTCACTAGCTCAACATACTATCAGATGTTTCTATCTGTGGGATATTATTGTTTAAATGTTGCTCCGAAACCCTTTTTTATGTCGACTGTTAGGCGGTACATAGATCGAGGACCGACTTCGGAGACAATTTTCGGCCCCCACAGCGGCGACCCGGCGCTCCTGATCGCTTCCCTGCATGTGTTTGCTCTGTCGTACGTGACACTAACACAGCTTCTCGGGGGCTGCTTGGCAGCTTCTTACCACCTGCTGTTTAATGCAAGATAGAGTAATTTTTAGAGTGGAGAAAGTTGAGATTTTTCACATCGGCGAGACATTGTGCAGCCTAAATACTATCCTATTGGATATCCGATTCTCCTCGGGCAGCTGCCTTTAAGTTTGCGCCGAGACAAAGGTTGCCTAAAGTCCATCGGTCCGCATGATCTACAACGGCTAGGGCGTCCAAGGCGGGGCACCGTGGGGGCGGGACACCTGTGCGGTCCCCGTCCGATGCCGGAACAGGGAAACCTACCCAATAATCTAACAACATGTGTGAAAAACAAAGTTCTTCACTCGTGCTAATATCTATAGAGCCCAAGGCAGACAAAGTGCTTGATTTAATGTGGGGATTGGGTTTACCCAATAATCCTTACGGACTTGAAAGAAGACTGCCACACCGCTGCCAATCCGCTATCGTCAAACCGGTGTGGCGATGTTGGTAAGCCCTGTGCTAAGCACATGTAGGTTTAAGTCAGAAATGCGTTCCTTTCGGTAGTTATAAGCCGGAAAGGTCATTTTCACGCTCTTTGTTTGATGCTCTCACAGTCCAAATACCCAAGTTAACAGTCGACCTTTGTGTTTTCATGGACATAAAGTGGAGCTTTTAGCCAGCACTCTATACAGGGCTGGAGGTAAAAGCTTATTTTTCAAACTTACCTTTAGCCTGGCCCCCACGCGGCCACGCCACGACATGTCTCCACATTTCCTCACCCCAGACAGCTCGGCTAGGAAGGCAGTGCTTTGGTATACAGCATCTCGCTCTACTGTACTGCTCCCGAAATTGTTTAGCATCATCAACAACTACTTATTTCTCTCTTGCAATCGGGCATCTTGATCATGTTAACTACTAAAGCACGGCATAAAAGAAGTTACAAGCGAAGGGAATTTTTCGCCAATTAGGCCCAACTACATAGATTGTTAAGTGCTAGATATTCAATAAGCACTAAGGCTATGCCGTTCGCCAACTACCATCACAGTGCACCGAAGTCCCGGGCCGCCATTTTTGTGGCACTGACTTTGCCCATTGTCATCAGTCAATAACTATGCTGCCTAACGAATGGTGGTAGTTTCAAAGCCTAAGCCAATCTTGGCTAGGTCTCTGTTGCTTGTCCGTAGGAATTTATTCTTTGTCAAAACGAATAGATGCCGTTTTCACCTATTTGGCGATTACCTAGGGCGGCCTAGGCAGACACAATGATGCACGTCCTCCAACATGGCAGTGCTACCCCTGCTTCCTGAATTTTTGACTGCCACGGGCCAATTTCAATAGTCTTTAAGTCTTCTCCGCGCTTTTTCGGCTGTGCATTGTATCCACAGGCTCTCCACTATCTGAGACAACTCTACCAACTGCAGCCTCGCGTCCACATTTTTTGCATCGAAATATCTTAATCAGATCCACATCGTTTTCTCCACTATCGTCCGAGACATACACAGCCTGAAGGCTGGCAGTAGCCTCAGTGAGTGCTGCGCCTCCATATCCGCCATCACCGCTTGCTGGCCTACAGACCACAGGTCTATAAGTATCACCATCACCACCACCTGTCTCTCTCCCATCATCATCTTCACACATCTTCCCCACTCAACAACAAACACCAATTTCACCGAACTATTTCTACTTCCAACGCCAAAATGCAGATCAAGGATCTCATCATTGCTTTCACTGTCCTCACCAGTGCTACTGTCATCGCTGCTCCCAGCAAGAAGAGGAGCTGTCCTAACGACTACTGGTACTGCGGTGTACGTTTCCCGCGATTTTTCCATTCCTAAGCCGCAGCTTTTTCCATGCAATTCTCATTCTACACTCTACATGAGGAATAATATTGGAAATTTCTTTGTGCTAACCAGAAAAAAACAGGTTTGTAACGGCACCAAGTGCAAGATTGCCGCTACCAACTACGAATGCACGCAGAACACTGCTGTATGTAATCCCTTAATTATCCCTGTAGGACCCCACTAACCGATACGACAACAGTGCACTGGCTCTGGTGCTGGAGACGGTGCCGTCTGCGGTACCAAGAACGACAACTTCTTCAACATCGGTGCCGACATTGAGTGCCCTCACAAGAACTAAACGGGCATTGATGGCATTGAATGCTTCGATTGCACGAGTTACGAGACACGTTCAGGGAGTAAAGAAAATATGGGGTACAAAAATAGCTTAGCTAGCTGAATTTTACATGCACTTTCTTGTTTTTTATTTCTGATGCGCTTGCAATCTGGATGTGAGGTAGCGACTGTACAAAAGGAAACTGAATTATTATGAGAAAATACGAAAAGAGAATCGCAGCGCTGACTGTCTAAGCAGTGAAGAAGTAGAAAAACTGGTTTCTCCTCGGGTTATCAATGTCTGACTGATCAGCCGCATAAAGTCTAATGTAGTTCTTGGAGGCGATTCTGCCGGCAGCCCAAGTCTTGTTGGTGAAGTCGTCGACCATCTCTGGGAGGACCCAAAAGTGGCTCTCCTCCTTCCAACCGTCGATGTTGGACGCGCGTTCGCCTATGAGGCAAATGTAGTCCTCGCGGCTCGTGCTCTTGCCGAAAGAGACAACCCTTGTCCCGATGAGCTCGCCAAAGTCGAAGGACTCAAACTTGAATATTTCGGTGGCGCCCTGGTACTTTACTGTGCTGGCAACTGTAGTTGATCGTATTAGCAGCAGTGGAGACTTTTTGGAGCTGGGACTGTTGTCTTACTATCGGTCCAATTGTCGCTGCCCTGTACCGGCCTGCTCTGCGCTATGTATGTCGCTCTCTTGATTGCACGCTATAAAATGAAAACAATTAGTATGTTGCGGCAAGCTTTTCTCTGAGTTCCAAGCTTACCAGCACTTCCAGCCGGAACGTGGTGGGTGGAACATGGTCGGGCGAATTGCGAGATTCGTCGGGGTTCTCTGAGATCAGGAGAATCTTACTGCCATTAGAAAGCACACTTTACTATATCATCCATGAAAACTTACTCTGTCCCTAATCTTTTTGGAGTTTTTGATCGCACCGTCCAGCAGCTCTGATAGCTGCGTCGAGCCCCCATTGTATTTGTTTGCGGGTACTGTATCGAAACGGTTAGCAACAATCTCAGCTCCGCTTTCTTTATTACTTACTGGTTTTGATGAGTTTCTCAATGGCCTGATACCGGGTGAAGTCATCAAACAAGGCCCAACTCTAGTGGATTAAGTCAACACATGTTCAGTTTGCTGGTCAAGGTTACTTCACGTACCCTCTTGTTTGCTTCGGAGTAGTCGAGTGGTTTGAAACGGTTGTTGAAGTCTGACAAGTTGGTGTATTTGCCGAGGACAGCGCTGGGAAATGTTGAGCTGATGATAACGCAGCTGCTTCGCTCAGACTTACAAAAGCATGTAGTTGTGTTTGCCGGAGCTCGCTTCGTCGTAGAACTTGTCGGCCTTCTCTTTGACAGCAAGTAGATCAGATGTCTCAGATGATGATATCTTTGCTGTTCCAGTAGAGGATTTCGAAGTGCCTGTTGACTCGTAGATGGCGATGCGGACAGTGGAGTTTTGTTTGATATCCTCAACGGCACTTTCAACTTCCTGGGTCACTTTTCCTTCCGTTCCATACATGGTAAACGCCACTTCTGCCCTGTAAGAGATGAGTGTACTGACCAAAGTCCTGGATTATTTCTAGCTTACGATTCCTTAATTTCTTTCTTCCGAGAAGAATTTTTGACCGTGATCGATACTCGGGCGAGGAACTGGCCTCCCCGAACAAAGTCTGCAAGGTCAACAGTTAGTACTTGCACTGCAGAAATCAGGAGTCTCGAATCCAGTACCGGTAATAAAGCGGTCGCCATAGGTTTTGACTGGGTTGTCTGTTTTGATGTCGTTGAATGTGAACTTGTTGCTCACGTTTCCTTGATGTTGAACAAGGACTTCCACTTGATAAGTCAAGGTGGTACTCTCGACCTACAAGAGATTTTAGCTCACGATTACGGCCCCAGAGAGTTATGGAACTTACTTCGCTCTGGTCAAGGACGCTGACATCGACCTTGCCGCTCTGGCCCCAACCGCTGACAGCTGCTCCGGCACTGACCTTGAGACTTTCTGCAAGCTTTCTATGGTTGCAATGAGTGTGAGAAACGGTTCATGACTACCATTGGGAAGTCAGTACTTACCTGTAGTCGCTTACGTAGTCGGAATGGTATTCTCTGTGGAAGGGGTTGTCGTTGTTTTCCGAACCTTCTACGGTGACTGCATTCCTCACACAGAGTTCTTGAAGGTACGTGTTGTAGCTGTTAAGTTAGCACAGCTTAAGAAGGAAATTATTAACTTCGTACCCTTGGCCCTGTTGCATGCCATTGATGTATGGAACAAGTTCGCCCATTTTGAATTTTGGATCGTGTGGTAAACTTCAAGGTTCAAAATTTAAGTGGTGATGTGTAGCTTGATGATGGATCTTTCAACCCATCTCCAAGATCGAGGCCCGTATATATATACCCACAGAAAGCATACGGACTCGGACTAGTGTGGGGAGCTCTGAATACTAAGCAGCAGGATAGGCCGCTCTGCATCATGCTTGACGTCACAGTACACAATGATTTCAATTGTACTTGCATATTCAATATACTTCTCTTCGGAATTCAGGTTAGATCATCTCATCTTTTACGTCACTCCGATTGCAGACAACGGAGCCTTGCCTGCAGCAATCGGAACGAGAGATGTTGAGGCATGCAGCAAGCTCTGCAATATTCCATTACTTAGTGTGTCACCGGTTGAATTGACTCAACATCTCTGCGGTTATGCGGTCAAGCCATTGCGAAGGGGTTGAGCGAAGTGTTGCTGCAAAGATCTTAAAAAAGATGTTGGGTGTCTGTTCAGTCTCTCCACAAATTTCAAATCCTATCAACCTTACTTTGATCACGGAACTCTCAAACAACGAACCAAAACCTGCAGAGTTAAACAAAGACTAAATGTGGAGAATGGTGGACGATCACGAAAACTGGCTGCGCTGTGGGAATGCATAGCCGAAAATCTTACTTACTGTGCTGCGTGCGCATCTAAGCCAAAAGCTCGGAATTGGCGTGAAATGATATGACTGCACAGCATATTCCAGTTTTCAGGTGATTTAGAAATTATCAAGCGGAAGGAATTTTATAGCTACAGCCTACAAAGCATAAATATCGCACCGAGCCCATCTGTTTTCAACGATATCCACTTCACAATCTTCCTCCAACTCCCAACTAAAACCATCAACCATACCGACATCATGGCTTACGCACAATGGGTTGCCATCAAAATCATCAACAGCTTCCGCAATGGAACCATCACCTTGAAGCACGCCCAAGCCCTCTGGTAAGTCTTTTGTGGCGTTGCTGCATTCAGTTCCGCCCGTAGTTAGAAATGCTTGAACCAACTGCTCATACTGCTATCTACTAGGGGAAAGTTCTACCGCGACGGTAACAAGGACGCGGAAATCAGTACCGACGATGTCGAGAAGATTACTATCCCTGCTGGCTCTCAGGCGACTATCTACGCATGCGGCCGATCTGACGCGTCTTCCGGCACCGAGGGAAAGATCGACCTCTATGAGGACAACCAGAAGATCTGCACCATCTACTGGGATTGCCCCTGGGGATCCAAGACCAACAACTTCCAGATCCAAGACCGCAACTCTAATGCGGGCTACATGGTTAGCGTCGGCGATTGGAGCCGCGACTCCGGCGCCATTGGCAATGTTGATGTCGAGGTTGCCAAGAAGGGCTAGGTTGTGTATGCATTCGACGATTCTCTAAGAAAGATCTTACCTTCTGGAGAATACAGTGGCGCTATGTAGTTAGGGTACTATGGACACTCTTTTTCCACAATGATATAAGCTTGAGAAAATGAATACTAAAATAGACGATGTCTGGCACTGGCCGCATTGTAATTCCCCACCTTTGGACAGTTCTCTAGCGCAGACATATGCGATGTTGACCTGGTAGAGCAGTCCTCTGCAGGCTTTGTGCCCATTGACGATAAACGCCGCCAAGAACTGCGTCGGTCTGCATGTATAACACCCGGGCGGGGTAATTATCGTTTCAAGACCTTTTTCCGAGGTTCAAAATCTAAAGAACTTCAATAAATATCTGCATATACTATTGCCAATAGCCGTCCGTGCCGTTGCGGGGTTTTGAGGGTGCGGGGAAAGCAGGCGGGCGAAAAATCTTGGAACCAATTGTCGTCTTCCATTTTACATGACTGTATCACATCGCCCCATCAACATGCATGATGAAAGCGGCACGGCTCGTAGCTGCACGAACCCATACATATACAGATGCAGTCTCCGTCACTAACGCATTTTGTCTAACATACTTTAAGTGACACGACCCTACTTCTTCAAAGAAAAGCGCGTCCATGTTGCACCAAAGAGGGGTTCACTACCGCTGCACACGTTCGCAAGCGGCATTAATGCCCAAGACGCAGTATGAGCAAACTGTATAACAGCGATGGCGGGTCTGACTGCGTGTTGAAGATGTGTAGACCAGTTATATCTTGTCAATGCTTCACACCCTTGACGGACCTGAAATCTGCATATACTGGTAGCAGAAAGCGTTTTCATTCTATAAATTTTGGCTGCAAATGACGGTTTGCTAGCATCGACACAAGGCAGCAGCAGGGTCGACAGAAGTGAGTAGGTAGGCAGTAAGCCAGCAGTGCGTTCGTTCGGCAGCGTTCTCGTGAGACAAACTGTTACTAGTTAGTATGTCATCGTCATTGTTCTGCTTGAATACATGCCTTGGATGCATATGCAGCTACGTTATCTTGGATCTACCTTGCCTCAACCACACCTGTTCTCTGCTCTTTACTTTCAGCATGGAGTAGTACTCTCTGGGATTTTTATAGGCCCTAGACGTTCAAACGTAGGCATTCCGGTAAGCATTCCGGTAACCGATGTCCGATTAAACTCCACAATGTGTACTCTGTCCTCATCGCGTTCCAGCGCGTATACCTGGCCGGACTGGGTTGCAGTGATTGGGGAGAGTGCTATCACGTTCTCCATTCCGTCTACGGATGTGACTGAGGTCCAATCATTTGCCGGAAAGCCATCCAAATACGCCATCATGACACCGCCGTCTTCTTTGGTTAAGATGACTTGGCCGTATCGCAATGAGTTTTGGGTATATGACATGGCTGCAATTTGGCTTCCGGTGGGGATAGACATGTTTACTGATTTTCCAAGTCAGTAATTGCTCCCAGTTACATGAATAAATAAATACTTATATAGAACTTACGGTTTAGATTTGAATCTTTCCATTGGGGCCTATTGTTTTTTGCAAAGAAAAGCTCGCTCAATCTCCCTTGTGCGCTGAGGTATAGCGCCACGTTCGGCTCCTTGTCACCTAATGTGGCGATAGGTTGGATGGGAACGAGCGCGTATGATGTGCCGTCGTCCGGGCCAACACCGTCTGGCAGGTATGTACCAAAGTATACAGCATTATTATAGGGATATGCGACAGCGGTCTGATTGTCCCTGACTGGTGATTGGAAAACGTAAATCGTAATAATTGTGCAATTAAAACAGGCCTCGTTTTGGTCCTCACAGTAAGTGTAGCACTGTGTGTCGTATGCCGCAAGGCCCGAATTCTCCGTAATTTCCCATGTGTCGTCGGGAGCAGAGGCTATCTCCCAGGCAGAGCTCCCCCGGTCTGCAGCCCAGATGTTGCGAATTTTGTTGTTGCTGGAGGAGAAGTCGAGATGAAAATCAGTATTCTAAACAAATGTATTAGACATGTCTCTTGTCGCAATATCCATGAATTTAAAATTGCGCGAAAGTAATCTTACCATACGGTCGACCGAATCAAAAGCAGCGATAGGTGTGCCCTTTCGGGGGGCCATCCCGGTTGTGTTGACAGGAGACAAATCCCACTCGTCCTTGCGCACTTCCCGATCAGCCATCCAGATGTTAAGGCAGCTGTCTTGAAAGTATACATGTACATGTTCAAGACCTTGTTTGTCAGTGTAGTTAGAGGCTGAGATTCGTGAGAATGGCGCAGGACGACCGGATATGTTGTCTTGAGTAATTGAGTTGTTTCCCGCATTGGAGTTTCTGTGTCGAGTTACACTAACGCCGACCCCGACTCCCACGGAAATTCCGATGACTACTAGAGCCGCGGTAATCACTGAGGCCCAAAAGATGGCTTTGCGCAGACCGCATATCGTTGCGGCCTCCGCTGACCTAGATTTTGCCTCGCTTGGAGCCGCTACCTCAGGAAGAGCATCCTTGGGAAGAGCTTGTGGTGGATTATCAGTGGGTTTGACCTGTGGCAGTTCGGCGCTGGTATCCACTTCTAACGTGCTGTAGTTATCCTGGTGCGACATTGTGGCCACGAGCAGATGATTGTGTCTTGAAAATGAGGGAGGAGGACATCGTCGCTTATTGAGTTTATGGTGGAGTCAGGAAAGTAAGCAAGCCGGGGTGTACTTGCTTTTGCCCATAAATTGGGTTCCATTTTTCCTCGTGTTTCATCTCCAAAATGGTGGTCCGCTGCGTATAAGCATGTCTGTGATTCGCAAAGAAAGTTGTCAGGCTGAGAAGTAATGACATGAGCCGCAGACAAGAACGATCAACACGTTTGCATACTACTCTCAGTTTACCGACCTGCGCAAGGCCTTGTACATACCACGTATTGTATTTTGGTGTTGTGGGCTGGTGGTGCGGGGAAAGCGGTGAACCTCGGAACTGGTAGCCGCCTTGGCCGTCACCCGGGGCTACCTATGGCACGTTAGCCATTGATCACCTCCACTAAAAACAGTTGAGCTGCCACACAATGAAGGTATTTGAGAGGGTATTACCTTTAATGCTCTTCCGCCACCAATGAAATGCCCTGCAATAACATCTACACTCTACTTCATCAATTCCAATTTTTGTTGTCTCTGTTCTCTAGGTACGGAGTACTCGTTAGGTTTTTTCAACCACGCTCAATCCGCTCGATGACAAATTCTTCAGACATGGGAGTTTTGAGATTTTCGCTTCGGGGAGAACCACGCACTCGGATCAGGCTGTGGTCTGTTTGCTTTGGCTGTAGTACTTTTTGGTTTTTTCGATTCCGCTTTTCATTTTCAGGCTGCCAATTCCTCAAAATACGATGTGCTGCTGACTTGAACCACTCCGGCTTATGACGCGCAACAGAACTACAGCTGTCAGTGAAAACGTGGTCAAGGCTGTCGTCGCCATCTTGATTATCAGTTCCGCTGAAGGAGCTGCAGCTATACTGAAGACACTAGCGCCAAAGCCTAATGGCAAAATGACCACAGTGGCGTAGGTGAAGTAGCGAGTGTCTTCGGCGCCGCGGAGCCCAAGATCTTCCCGGATCTGGTCACGTCGATTGGCCAAAGTCTCCCTGGTGACCGCAGGTTGGCGTGCGCTGTCCTGAGTTGATAGTCTTTTGCGCATTCGAGATCATGTTCATGGACGCGTCAGCTGCTGCCCATCCCACACTAAAACAGGTTTACGATGATCGAAGGCCTCACAGATGAGGGTGACAGCTGAAATGCCACGGCCGCAAGGCGCAACAATGCCAGCATGTGAGCTCCTCTATCTCGCCCTTCTGCCTTTTCTTGGCCTTTCAAGGCCGTCCTCGAAATCAACGTCCTGGTCACCTTTTCTCTCATCGGCGTCCTCTTGCCGCGTGAACTCGGCTTCCCTATCCTGTTCCAGCTGCTCAATCTCAGTGTATTTCCTCTTGCGTATTGTCCTCGAGCGCGTGTTTGTCTTGCCCTTCTTTTCGACGCGCCGTTGGTGCACACTCTCCGCATGGACAAGGTCGTCGTATAATTCAAAAAAGGGGATGGCGAGGGAGAGGTTGGTGACGAGCTCTTGGATGTGGACGGGATAGTCTTCAAGGACACAAGGAGGGACGAAGTCGGTGAGAGGGAGGGTAAGTGTGCCTGGTTGCAGAGTCCCAGCCACGTCGCGTAAGACGTGCTCGTCTTGTTCGACTTCGGTGAACTCCTGGCCGTCATCGGCAAACTGGAGCGGGCCTTCTCGCCATATGCTGACTGTGGCAATCTTGGACGGTGGTGGCTTGAGTTTGTTAACTTGGGAGCGGGGCGACTGGCGCTTTGGCGGGGTATAGTCGATGCCTAGGGCGATAACGGCGCTCACGTTGCCTTTGGTTCTGCGAATGAAATCATCGGCAACCTTGGGAAGTCTCCTGCGCTTCTGACTGTAGGCGACTTCAACGACGGAGGAGTAGAGGGCTTCCTCATGTTGGAACTGGCCGTCTGGGCACCGGTAGCTCTGCGGATCGGGAGAAGCATTTGAATCATCTGAATTGTCCGTATCTAGGTCGATTGAAGTGGAGCCCACGTGTATAACGCCAGCCATGAGCTGGGTAAGTTGGTCTGGGTGTTTCGCCGTCAACCGCCTTAAATGCTCCTCAATGCGGGCGCCAAGTCTCTGATTCAGTCTGTCATGAAGCGACGTTAATCCCATGCGGATGATGAATAACCCGAGGTCGGCGTCGTAGTCGAATCGGCCCTTTGTCTCGTACCAGCTCGCGAAGTCCCGATCGTCGCCCTCGTCGACGCGCCACAGAAGCTCGCAATACTGCGACACGGGCAGTTTGTGCTCAACCCAACCTGACGCGGACGCGTCCAGCCAGGTCCCCCGGTGTATGTCCTTGAGCTTGCCAAGGAGTCGCTCGACCGGAGGAGCGGTCGGGGTGCGGTGGGGGCTCGACAAGGGCGGCGATGGAGGCGCGGCCGTAGTGAGTGGTTTGGGCGTGCGAAACGATGAGCTGAAGGAAGATTCGCAGCTCGGAGGAGTTGTCATGGTCGAGCTGCGCAGAGTTGTGCAGGCTGGAGGTGATGAGTTGCAAGTCGCTGTTTCGGACAGCGACGCGTGACCGACGCTCGCCGGCACGTGACAGTTCCAAAACTGGCTTAGCACAAGGGCTGTCCCGCTCTGCGGTCTCTGTCTTTTGCTTCGTTCTCAACTACAAAAGGGATGCTACTCTATCAAGATCCTCTGGACGCGAAAAGGAGGCAAAGGAATTCTGTCGTCCCACTCATACACCTTCCTCCAAATCCAATTCCCTCCAGGATTTCGCTCCACTACAGCAACAAGCGTCTCACTTCCGTCTCCGCGAAACGTGTACGGCACCGTATCATAGAACGGCGGGCCTTCTAGAGTCCGCAGGAGTCCCATGTTTTCCAGTTTTACCCCCGTTTCAATGGCAACTTGTCTGAGTCTTTTCCCAGTGCTCAACGCGAGCACCCCCATGTGCCAGAAGTACGAAGTTTGGTGTAGAATGTCGTCCACGTAAGCCTTAGATGCTGGAGAAGACGAAAACTTTGAGATGCCTTTTAAGAAGCAACTGGGGGCCTTCCGTAATGCTTTTCTAAAACCTTCATCTTTGAGTTCACCAATTAACCACCTAGCTCTCAAACCATCCTTAGATCGGTGCCCCTCCTCGCTTCCGATGCCTTCGTCGGCGAAGTGGCGTGTCTTGATCTTCCGCGTAGACTCGATTTCAAGAGGAAGGTCTGGCCGAGCTGGGGCCCAGCTAAGTCCTTTGACGCCAGATATCCTTGGAGCATCGGACATTAAGAAGCCAGTGTTGACCAAAATGTTCAGAGGGTCTCGCCAAAAATTTTCCGCGGTATACGACAACTGGCTCCCGCATAAGAGGCTCCAGATTACGATTTGATCACCCTGTCGACTGGAATGTCTATGAGTAAGTACGCTCGCTGCGGTTTCTAAATGTAGCTCGTTACTACGTTCTGCGCCTAACTCTTTGGAATCTCGCTTTTGTCGACCTTTCGTGGGGAACAAGTGGTCCATGGTAAGGAACAATGCTGCTAAATCAATGTTTCCCTTGGCATGTACTGATTTTACGATGTCGGCAAGCGGGACTACCTCATCATTTTTGCAAAGGAGGTATACATTTTCGGCCCCTTTAAGACCCTCAAGGAGTGTCCAAGCTCTCACATTCCAATCGGAAACAAGCAGTGCTGCGATAATCGACTCATCGGTTCGGAGCGTTCTGTTCCGTGCGATGTCAATACGCATAACATCCATATCACAGATTAGAGTGAAGCGACTCGAGCGGAACACATTGTTGATTTCGGCAATTGCTTCTTTCCGGAGCTGATGATCCTGTGGTATACATGGTGTGTCCATCCAGTACGACTGGCATGCGAACTGACGTGCTATTTTGAAATAGCGTTCATGCAGGCAGGCGTTGAAGCCAGTAGAGTCCTTAACTTTTTCTGGTCTTCCACCTTGGCTGTGGCTCCAAACGTGGGAGATGGCAATGGTGTTTGTTGAGGCAGTGCAGTATTTCAAAAGGCCATTTTTGGCTTGATCAAGGCATACTGCGCGGGCCCCCAGTAGAGCCTCTGACATGATCTATCGCAGGTTGCGGAATGTGAAGACTGGTCCTCTATCCGCGCCCCAGTGAATCTTCGGCACTGAGCAGGGGACTTTCCAGAGCATTGAGAGGTGGATCCATCAAGATTGACAATGCAGCGAGCAGGTAGATCCCCAAACGTGTACTGGTATACGGAGATGAAATGATTGAGGTCCAGGCCTGTTGCTGCGCGGTTCGTCCGTAGAAGCTCGAAAGACCATTTGCACATGTACGGAGAAAGTGTAATAGCCCCTAGATCTGACGATGAAGCATTAAAATACTTCTCAAGGCGTTTCAGTTGACGTCCCGTTGAGCTGATTGACGAGTTGCGCTCTATGCTGCTGCCCCAGTTGATATTGATGAGCAGGACATACCACCGATGCAACACTGTACAGCGCAGCTAAGCTTGCCATAAGAACACTCTTAGTACGAATAGTCGCCCTGTCCTGGTCCAGGTCTCTTTGGCAATTTCAAATGTCGTCCTAAGTAATTCGGCAATAAAAGCAATATACGTCTCAAAATCGGTTCCCGCATAACCTTCTCTTTTCTCCAGGTTCCTCTTAACTGCTATAAAGACCTTGAGCGCCATCTTAATCGAGTTCAAGTCCACGAAGTGTGCTACCTTAAGACTCTCCAAGGTCCTACAGCTAGGTTCGGCAGCGAGAAATCCGGTATCGAGACGGTTAAGCGCCGAGTCATTGGATATACTGTGGGGCTGATACACACTTGTCGGTATTCTCTTGAGGAGTCCCAAAGCTTGATTTACCAGGTTCTCTGGGATGTCGCTGATATCTTTCAGGCGGAAATCCAGTCGCTTCCCGATTGAATCATCTAGGCGCTCCAAATGTCCATGGGGATCAGTGATTAACTGACACCATTCACGAACAAGAACTTTAGCATTCTTAAAATGCTCGCCCTCACTTAGAGGCCCTTCCATGAAAAATGTCGACAGGTCTTGTGAGGGATCTAGGGTATGAAATCTCCCCCAGGTTCACTTAGAATTATCTGGCAGCTGGTGATTGATAGCGTCTTGCAACACATCGCTGACACGATCGATCAAGCGCGAGCTTCCGTTGGGGAGCTGTGTCGAAGTCATGATATGAAAGTTCCAGAATGATTCGGCAGCAATGTGTCTTAGTGGGTGGGAGCCTGCATCTTATATTGTCTCGCTTGCCGCTTACTTACCCCGCACATGCTGGTGTGTAAAACGAGTTTTCTTGTGCGACAAACATTTAGCCGGCAAATCAGGTGGCTTTGTAACTTGTAACTTCCACCCCTACCAAGCGAGATTCATCCCGTAACGAGATAATAACCCTTGAATAGAGTAGAAGTAAAGCCTATTCGAGGTGCTTGTAGGTATGTATACGCCTGGAAATCTCCTTGATTATATAGAGGACACAAACAACTGACTGGAGAAGAAGCATGCCATGGGGACTGCTTATATTCTTATTTGTCTAGCTAGGCGGTGCATCTTGGTTCATGGTGACGGAACGCTGTATAACTCCCTAATTTGAAATTCGGCCCCTTGAAAGAAACAGTGTTGGTTCTTAAGAAAAGAAGACCTTCCTCTCTAGTCTCTCGGTGACAAACTCAACGACGAATAGCTATGTAAACTTGTAGTAAAATAATTCTTGCAGTGCTTTATCTTTCATGTTGTGATGCAGCTCGAAACGGGTTAGCGCATCGGCTTAGTCAGCTCCCGCCACCTTTCCGTGCCGATCGTTCATCGCTCTCCATCCCACAACCATCTCTCTGTCGATGACAGATATGCCTCCATCGCTGGTGATAGAGCCACTTAAAGGCTTCTCCTGTTTGGCCTGTCGGCAGCGCAAGGTCAAATGCGACCGGCGCACGCCCAGCTGTTCCAATTGCGACAAGACAGAGAAGCCATGCAGCTTCGTCCCACTCCCACCTGTGCGCGGGAAGTGAAAAAGAACAACCCCTCCCAGAGAAGGCCTCCATGCAAACTGACACAATATGAAGAATGGCGAAGGCGTATGGCGCAAAGCTTGATCCGTCGGAAGACTAACGATTCTGACTCGGAAACAACTGACACCGGGATGGCGCAAACTTCGGGCTGTCTCCATTCGAAACAGAGATGCGAAGACGACTTTGGTGGCATCTTGTTCACGTGAATTTTCGCGCGGCTGACGTGGTAGGCACGACACCGTCTCTGGACCTTTTCGGCGGAGATACAAAGATACCTCTAAATATTGACGACGGAGACCTGTACGCGTGTGTGGCTGCTCCGCCGGATGAACGCAACGGCATCACCTCCATCGCATTTTGCTTGGTCAAATGCGAGATCCTGGAGGCTTTGCGCAAATTTTGAAGGCGTGTTCCGGTGATATGCGCCGGGAAATGCTCTTCAATCCAGATATCACACTCGCCTGGAAGGACAGTGTCATAAAACATACTGAGGACCATTTGGAAAAGAAGCGTTTACGATATTGCGACCCGTCGATAAAGTAGATTTGTTTTACTCTTGCCTCCAACATGGCTTCATCCATCGAGCTCGACATCAATACGCCGACCAGTCCAACCAAGGGCAAGTACCTCTGCCTCACCATCTGCGGATACCGCAAGCCAGGCATGAGCGAGGAAGACTATCGCAACCACATGGTCAACGTCTCGGCACCCATGACTAAAGACTTGATGGTTAAGTACGGAATCAAGCGATGGACACAGGTACAACTCCTCTTTTGAGGATGGCACGCTTGACATTTTCACTGACAAAGCAAAAAGATTCATAACCAAAGCTCCACTCGCGCCTTGATGAGCGAGCTGTTCGACCCTCAGATGTGTATTGTCGCCGACTTCGACTACTTTAGCCAAGTTATTTTCGAATCCATCAAGGACTATAAACGCATGAAGCAGGATCCGTGGTACAAGCAGCACCTTGTAGGTGATCACGAGGTCTTCGCTGATACAAAAAGAAGCATGTGAGTGTAATCTTCGTTATTGACTGAGTCAAATTATTAATTAATGACAGGATGACTATCGGGTGGATTGAAGATTTTATTAGGGATGGCCAAGCTGTCAACGGTTATAAAGATTGATGCTTTATTTTAGTACCGTCCATCTTTGAAATTAGGACTGCCTTCACTCAAGCGTTTGATGGTTGAATTTAAGCACTGGAACTCAAGTAAAAACATAAAAATAACATAAGAATAAGGGAATTGCAGTTGGAAAAGGCGAGTTGTCGTGACTGCGCGTTAAAAAAAAAAAAGAAAAGCCGGCATTTCTAGCATCAGTCGGTTGATCCAGAGCACAGGCACTACCAAGCCCCTTAATCATGTTAATCATGTACCCGCAGCATCTCACGTGGCAGTGGTGGAGGCATATAACAATGCGCTAGGCGTGTGCTTTCAAATTAGCCGTATAATGGCCAGTCTCTCCATCCAAGGCGCCGTCAGCATGCAGTAACGCAGTGTCAAGAATAGATCTCTCACCCGAGAGGCCAAAAAATGAAAAGCTAGTCGAAGAACAAACCCCAGAGTGATCTAATCGCGAATAGAGCGCCGCGAACCGAGGCCAGCAGAGGCCGACGGCAAGAAGTAATCCGTGGTAATGATGAGCACAGGGTCCGGAGAGAGAAAATCGAAGAAAAAGCCACGGAGTAAGCTGCGGCTATGAAGCAAATTAAACAGAAAGGTTAGTGTCAGCCAGGATCACTCCGGTAACTCTCGTTTTTTCAGCCTTATTACAGTCAGTTGTTACACTACAGCCTTACCCCTTACACCACACGTTTATCCACTGCAAG